AGAGAGAGCTGTACCTTGACAGACAGCAGCCGGGTCAGGTAGATCTCAGTGATGGCTTTGGTCATCGCCTTGTCCTTCATGCTGCCTCTCTTTGACTTTACTTCATCGATTTCGTCTGCCGGCCTCACCAGGTGGAAGGTGTTGTCGTCCTCCAGCAGGGAGTTTTCTGTTGGCGAGACACAGACAGAGAAAGAGTTAGAGAGAGAATATATCTATTCATCTGTTAAAGCTTTTTGTTACTTAGACACATAAATGACATTTACGTCTTTATTTATGTCACATATTTGACACCAGGTAATTGGAGAGCAATTATATGCGACAGGCTTTGAATGACAGCACATTAAGTAGCTCTTGTTTAATTACTGTTTGCTCTCGTTCATACATTTGTTCTTCCACTCAGCTGACGTGCATTAAATATAAGTACTGTATTCTTTAAATTTCTGTGCAAATGTGTGCAAATTAGCACATTTTTAAGTCGATAATGCCTCATTTTCACATTTAAACACGACATTTTTAGTATTCCTACATACAGATATGCAAGAAATGTGATTCTAAAGCGAGTTTTCTGAAGTTTAAAGATGAAAATGAACGTTTTTTACGGCAATATCCTCTGATTTCATGTTCAATAAAAAGTCAGGAACTTCAAAGTAACCACAAATTACAGCCATCAGATAAGTTGAATGTAAAGTTATCCTTAGTGTGTATGTGTTTATGTGTGTGTACATACTCTCTTCGTGGCTGTCTTGGTGCTGGTGGAAGGACTGTGTGTGCAAAACTCTGGACAGAACCAACGTGGCATTATCCCGGACCTGGAAGACAAGAAATCGATTAAAAAATAAAACACAAATAAATCCAGATTCACTGTCTGGTTGTCTGTAACTGAACTATGCATGCGCTTTGTCTCACAGCAGCTTTCTCAATAAATCATTTCCTTTAAATGTCAGAGGGGGGATTGGACGAGTGTTTTAGTTGCTGTTGGTTTTTTTGTGAAGCATAAGTCTCGTGTGGCTCGACATTTCTGCGCACGTCAGTTTTTTTGGTCATTTCAGCACCGGAGAAAAGGTCTGGACTCGACACACTGAGGCAAAGCTGATTAAAAAAACATACAGAGACTGACTCGTTGCATTAGCGTGAGACAAACCCGAAGACTAGCTGACTGACAAAAAGCTGACAAACGCAGAAAAACAGCAGGTAACTGTGGTAATGTTAACCCCCCCCCACCTCCTCTGGAGAAATAAATCCAGTCTTAATGGGGCTTAAGGTCTGGATTTCAGGGAGTTTTGAGGCTTTTCAAACATAATAAGGCAAAACCGGACTTTCCACCCTTTAAAGAAATCCTTCTTGGAGACATTTTCCAGGGGTTTTTCTTGATAATACAGGACAGCACCTGATCATAAACATATAATTCACCGGTAGGTACTGACACATTTAAATGTACCTTTCTGCTGCTTGAGGGTCTCTTACATCAAAAGTACAACAAGACGTCCAATGACTAAAATCCTTCATCTGGTTAAAATATACAGACCAGGATCTTAATGGTGGTTAAAAAGTCAATTTATGACTTCTGGCAGACAACCACAACGCTGACAGACGCACAAAGGAGATATAACGCCATTGACAGACAACCTGTGTTAATGAAATGACAGATTTCTCGGGGTTTGAACATTGTTGGAAACATTTGGGATAACGTAAGTACACAATTTAACACAATAATAAGATAAGTCAAGTGTTTATAGACACTTTAATGGATAAATGTTACATATTGTAACTTTAATTCTATTAACATTAACATTAATTTGGCCACAGCCTTTGTTTCCAAACCTGGACAACTACTCTCTGAATTTCGAGGTGATCCATCGGAAACCCTAAAAAACTTTTTTTTTGCACATTTATGAACAGCACTGCATAAAATAAATCACAAAGTATTCACATGAAAGCCTACAGACAGCACTCACATTGTAATGAGCCAGAGTGTTGAGTCTCTTCCAGCGTCCTTCTTTCTGGGAGGTCAGGTCGAGGTCGGACAGGATCTGACCTGTGGAGCCAGGACGCCATTCTGTGGACGATGAGAAAATTAACTTTAATGTGTGTCTGTGTGTCTGTACAGAGACAGAATATATAGAAAACGTCAATGTGCTTTGGTTATGTCTATGTTATTCTCTAGCAATAGGGAGCCTGATCTCAATGAGATTAGCTGATTAAATAAAGATCATTTATATATTTATCTACCTCATTGAGTTATTTGATTCTTGGCATAATTTCCCTTTGGGACAAATAAAATAATCTCTTTATCTCTCTAATTAAGGGTAAATAAGTTTACCGTCTGTATAAGAGCTTTGTGCAACTCCTTAACTAAAGTGCAGTCAATACATATGATTAAATATGATTAAAATAGTTTTATTGTCTTAGTATTTAAATTTTTATGCCACCAAATCTCACTGTAGCCCTGCAGTTCCACCACACACCTGCAGGGGGTGACAAACTCCTGGTTTGTGAATGTTGTATTGTAGCATTCAGTGACAGTCAAATTATTTGTTTGTATAAATACCAATAAAATAACTGTTAATAACAATGATTCTAAAGTATTTTTCAGATATATTTTGACTGTATCTTACCCAGTGCAACATTCTCCACCTTTGGTCTCTGTGAGTACGGCAGGTTCCTGTAGACCTGATCAATGATCTTCTCTTTCACCTGGAGAGCAGAAAATTAAAATGTAACCTGCTAAAACACAAAAACTAAAGATACACAACTCTATTTTTTAAAAACAGAGTTCATATATGATATAAAAAAACATTTTCACTTCACCAGGGACCGGACAAACACAAACACATCACATATTCAGCTCCAGATGCTGAAGAAACTCTGGAAACAACAACCTGAGAAAGAAAACAAAACCCACCTGGGAGATGGTGTCACAGTTCAACACTTTCACCGGAGTCACATCTGGTCCCTCCCCGTGCACCAGCACCTGCAGAGTCTGACATCACAAACACACCTGTCAGACACACACTAATGACAGAGTGTGCGGCGACCTACGGAGCTCATTTACTTCTATCAGCACAATAAAAGCAGCACGCTTGTTCCTGCTAAACTTCTGCTTGATCAGTCAACTAATTGTTTTCTCTGGAACCACAAAAAAAGTGACATTATATATATTATATATATATCTCAGACCTTTTGTGACCATCAGACCATCTTTTTATTTATTGCTGTGTTTTACAGTGTTTATTGTTGTTTTCTGTATATTGTTACTGTTGCTGCTCTGGTTCTTACTGTTATTTGTGTTGTTTTTATTTTTCTGTAAAGGCACTTTGTAAACCCGTATTTGAAAGGTGCTATATAAATAAAGTTTATTATCATTTCTTTTTATTATGCTTTTGAAGTATGTTCTTTTTGTCTCCGTTTTGCTTTTACCTAAACTGTACAGCACCTTGAATCTACCCTTGTGCATGAAACATGCTTTATGCCTTGCCTTCTATACTCAAATAAAAACTACAAATATTTCAACCTCTGCAGCAGCGCTTTGTGCAAAAAGTAGAGTTGAGTACAGCCACAATCAGCAATCATCCCCTGACTGTAGTCATAACACAGCCTAACCAGCTCCAACAGTTATCTATCCAGCCGCAATCAACTAATTGTTTTAGCTCTTAATAAAAAGATTAACAGTTTTTTATGTGATCATTAATAATAAGCTGTATTTTGGCCCAACATCTAAACTCTGATCTCAGAGGCTTTGCTATTCTGATCAGTCAGGAGAAAACACTGAATACTTGCAATCACAACAAAAGGAATAAATCAGCAGTTTCGATCTAATAATGCTGTCTCTAGCCGTCAACAGTGTGTGTACTAACCAGTACAGAGTACTCGACGTCGTCCCCCAGCAGTCCTGTGTCGTTCAGAGTGTATTTGGCTTTCTTCATCTTGGCGTCCACTGGTCCCTTCTCAACCTGGTGCTTCAAGGCCTTGTACAGTTTGTACAAAGGTTCTCCTGCCGTGTCCTAGAACAAGGACACGAACTGCATTAGAGCCGCTGGTTGGATGGGAACCGATACCAAAACATGTTTTACCTTCTGCAACTCCTTAAACTTAATCATTTATTGACAGAACTCTGGTGCAACAACTCAAATGCTCCCCAATTCATAAGCATCTGTTGGACACTTTCACAGCTTCAGCCAATAACAGCTCTATTAAATATGCAGCCTGTAAGTGTAAAAGTACAGTAACTGCAGCTATGAATCCTCCTTTATTCCAATTAAATTTAGCTCTAGCACAACATTTATCTCATGTGAAGAATATATATATATTTTTAGTGAAAGATTTGGTTTATTGGATATAAAAGGGAATTTAAGGAAGGTATAATGCTGGTTTTAATACTAATGTAAAAATGCTCCGTTAGTAAGTAAAGTTCTTGCATTTAAATTGTTAATTAAAGCCTCTAAAAGGAACTTTTATCTTGTGTTGATTTTGGCGCCCTCGGTAGACAAAAGCGGTAGTGTTTCTATCACCTTGAGACTGTATATAACTTGTTCCTCCTTGTAAAAGTATGAAAGTATAATCAGAAAAATTCAGTTTTTATGTCCCCTGTGACTGTTTTACTATTATATATGATATCATTAGAATATTAGGACTCATGCATTAATGTAAAAGCAGGATTTTACTGTTGGAGCTCATTTGCATCACTGCAACTAATGATTATTTTTTTATTATGGACTCATCTGCTGATTATTTTCTCCATTAATTGTTTTTTCTTTATCCAACCTACAGTTCAAACCTCCAAACAATTAAAAATGTTTTTAATTTATTTTAAAATTTTAATTTAAAACTTTTTTTAGACTAATTGATTTAACAAAACATCACATCTTAAAAGCAAGTAAAGCTGTCAAATGAATGAAAGTGTTTAAGCACAATAAAATGTGTGATAATCAACTGATAATTTCAAAGTTTCAGGGAGTTTCAGTGTCTAAATGTTGGGACTTTGTTAGGTTTGAGGGTCTAAATTGAATCCACATTCAGCTGCTGATCCTAAATCACATCACATAAAGAGTCCATGTTGTGAAAAACGTGTTCTGGAGCTGAAAGTGTGAACACGATGTTCGGTACAAGAATGTTAAATTATAGAAACCTTGAACATCAGCACAACATATCAGCTGCTGCCGTCAGCAACGAAGCATCGACACAGGACGAGCAGAAAAAACACACTGAACGGGTCTCAACAAAAGACAGAGGCAGGGGGAAAGTTTCTTAGAGTCAATTATAACTGGAGGAAGAGGAGAAGAAAGAAAGGAAGAAGAAGAAGAATGGCAGGTGAGAAACAGATCGAAGAGAAAACCAAACAGAGGGAAAGTTAAAAAAAAAACGACAACAACACAGAAGAAGTGAAAGAATCTGTGTTACCCGGAGGAACTGATAGAGACAGATGGACATCCAATTACAAAGCATCCTCTCCACCACCGTCTCTGACCTAGATACACACACACACACAAAGACAATAGATAAAACATTAGGACTGTACAGAAGGCATCTTTGTTGTTATCATGGGAAAATCACAGTGTAAACAAATACAAATACATAAATAAATACATAAATATTACAGTTGTGTGTATGTATTCCTCACCTCCTGAGCATGAGTTTGGGGTTTTTGTTCTGCACGTGTTCGTCCATCAGCTCCAGCAGCAGCGTCCTCATGATGTCCGTGTAGTACTCCAGTTTTCCGTGCAGCGCCACTGTCAGCAGGGAGGCGAAATAACCGCGAGACCGGGCGTTGAAGTCAGGACGGCTTTCCAACGTACGGATGAACTACGGGGGGCAGAGAGCGTGGTGGATTTTACAACATAAAAACAAGATCCACTTTCTAGCTTTTCACATCCACGTCTAATAATCCACAACTGGAGAAGGCTAGTAAGTGGACCTTGACTACAATCTTCTTCAGACAGAGCAGGAGAAAAGGAAATGAGCACATAACACACCTTGATAGTGTATCAATTAATATAAGAGAAGAAAGTAGTGTTTTATCTGTGTTATATCCACAGCAAGATTACTTTATTGTCAATGGTGGGCCCCTTAGATGTGATACTAGCCACCTTTCAGTCCCCAGCTGGAATACACCGTCCTGACGGTGCCGGGGATCGAACCAGCGACCTTTTGGTCCCCAGTGATACACATGGTGAAAAGGGTCTTATTTTAGTGTCACAGGTCTCATGTCACCAACGCCCAAGTAGATCCAAACGTGAATGAGATTTGATTCACAGACATTAAATTGGTTAAATAATTATCAGTGTTTAGTTGTTTTTGGTGCAGGAGGTTAAAAATAGGACTTACTATTAGTTCTATAAATAAATCCGTTTGCAGAAACCTCGCTGAGACGGAGCTGAAATTGTTTGAAGGTGAGAAAAAGACTGAATAAGAAAGAAATAAGAGGAAATAAAAGGACCTACAAACTCACATTGATGAGGAAAGGTTTACTGTTCAGCAGGTTGGAGAACTGGTTGAGTGCCTGAGCCACGATCGCCTTGCGGGCTTCTGGGATTTGTATTTCTCTTGTGATCATGGTGTCATTGGCGCCGTCCTTGGAGGGCAGGAAGAAGTTTCGGTCGGTGTAGGTTTTGTAGTCCAGGAAGGGGATTCGGGCCTCGCTCAGGTCACTGGTGTGGTCCTCCATTTCAATCATCAGATCTGACAGACGAAGAAAAACCATTAAATATTAT